GGATAATGATGACTTGTGTGTTTTGAAAATTAATAAAACTTGTTTTTAAAAAAAACAAAAAACAGTGTGAGATGAGTCTGGCTTCCATGCCTTAAGGCAGGGGTGTCAAACACGCAGCAGCGTCACGTAATGTATTGTGACTTTTCCCCCCTTCGCTAAGCCGTCCAGGGGTGGGACCAGCACATGATGCATCCAGCCCTCGGCCCACAAGTTTGACACCCCTGCCTTAAGGGATGATCTAGCACTCAATTACTTTGTCTGCCCTGAACAAGCCAGAGCAAGATTCCATTTTGTTTTAACATCCCCTCTCTAGTTTCAAAGATTGGGAATAAAACTTGATACTGGTTGCTTTTTAACATCGGAGCCATGGGAACAACATATTCTGGGCTGAATGAGGGTGAAAAAACAAATGAATTTTCTGAAGGATAAAAAAAAACCAGGATTTGGAACTCAGCATATATTTGTTTCCATCAGTAGGATAACTCTCCAAAAAGTGAACAAAACAGGATCTTAAGTTGATGTGTCAGGAGAAACCAGTAACAATAAAAAAAGTGATTAGTTCCAGCTGGATGCTGTGATAGGGAAAAAACAATCAGAAGAACATTCCCCAGCACATGTCTATGGGAGAATCAGTTGGGCAACAGTTTGAAATGTGTCAGGCTGCTCCATTTTTAATCCTACTTTCACTTGGTCTCATGACATAGATCTATTAAGAATTTCAAAAGAATTCCAGAAGACACACCACGCTTGTCTTGCTTTACTGCTTTTTTTTTTTTTTGTTTAACAACTGGGAGCTTTGACACTTTTTAATTGTATATATTGCTTTCAATACTTTTGTAGGAAAGAGAACTGCATATATTTGAAATCATTGTTTTTCTATTTCTTAGGGACATTGCAGTGATTTATTGATTTTTCAAACACAACCATATTCACTTCTCAGGTGAGTTGAAAAACAAACAGAATAATATTGTAAAGCCTCCAGAATTGTTGTTGTTGTTAGTCCGAAGTTGTGTCTGACCCATTGTGACCCCATGGACAACATTCCTCCAGGCCTTCCTGTCCTCTACCATCCCCCAGAGTCTATTTAAGCTCACACCGACTGCTTCAGTGACTCAGTCCAACCACCTCATTCTCTGCCGTCCCCTTCTTCTTTTGCTCTCAATTGTTCCCAGCATTAGGCTCTTCTCCAGTGTCATTCTTATATAGCAGCTGTTTAAGTCAAATCCACCCGTGATTCAAGCAAATCATAGATAGTATGATGTTTCAATAAAATCCTAACAAAGAATGTGTTATTTTCCACAATAGTTACCTAATGAAAGAGCTGAGATATTAAGATTGGGAACATTGCTGTGGGAGAGCATATTGCAGTACTTAGATGTTTTAACTAGTTTACTACTATGTAATTTATAGGGAGCAAAACTTTATAACCTTCATTTTGTTTCTTTTAGATTGAGTCTTGATTGTATTGGTAAAAATGCTGTCCTCTTGGAGAAACAAATACCGTGGTTGCCATCTAGACTTCTGGAAGAAGTTATGGATAAAATAACTTTTTGGGTTGCTGTTAATCATCGTCAGAAAAAAAAAGCCAAAGCAGAAGAGCACGAGTAGATTAATGTCCTTTAAGCAACAATTCCATTATCATTTTAAAACAAACAACACTATTACTGGTAAATTGTTTGAACTAAATTCTAAATTTCTGGATGCGCAAGAAACAGTTTCAAAGGTTATCAGTGTCATAACAGCTCCAGTTCAAGGCGCTGAAGATTAAAATATTCTTGGACTTAAGAGCAATTTGATCTGATTATTGTTATTGAAGATAATGGGGTTCCAAGCAGTGAAAATGGTGTTTGGCCATATTGGGTAGTTTATCTTCTGCTGGTATTTGAAAAGGAATGTTGTTGTTTTTTAAAAAGTTGAATTGTGTTTAAAAAAAAATGAACTCAACATCCTTTCGCAACATTTTGACAAAGTTGTTTATTCTGTTGATTGTGTAAACTTTGTATTTAAAAGTTGAAAATATGTCCTTAATTTATTGTAAAAAGTGTTTATAAAATACTGTTTTCTATTCTTTTTGAGTTTTGTGATTAACACTTGTAGAGTCTGAATGTAATTTACTGAACATCTTTTAGTCTTCCCATTGTGCCATTTTGAACAAAATCTTGAAAAAGTAGTTCTATTCCTAACCTTTACTTGAATTATAGTAATAATTAAGCTAATATAAAGCTAAATCATTTGGGTACATTATTCCATATAAAATACTCTTTTTACAGCACAATGTCATATATGCCTTCAAGGAGTTTTTTGATAATAGAATATCAACAGGCAATATATAAATGATACTTTCTGCCTTATTCTTTGTGCAGAAATATTTTAAACGTTAAAAAGGGAATGTAAGGTTTCCTTCTCATTAGCTGGGTAGTTTACCAAACAAACAGCTGAATTATAATATCTGGCTAAATGACAATTATTAAAAATGTTCATCTGGTAATAAAGGGTTTTCTTTAAACAAGAATAGGTCTAAAAGCTATACTAAAATTATTGAGGTGAATATTTTTCCTGGGATAAAAATATATAGGGATGCCCCAGTATTCGCTAGTTTCACATTTGTTTTGATGATTTGGATTTTGAATAGATACAATAGATAAATAGGTATTCAAAAGAGCATCAAAGTGGAAAGTGTTAAACAATGTTCTTTCAAGCTAAAATCAATTTTAAAAGGGGACTGGCATTGCAGAATATTGTACAGAAACATTCAGTTCCTCTATATAGTGTCCTTATTTCTTTTCTTTTTTTAAAAAACAAGTTTTATTAATTTTCAAAACACACAAGTCATCATTATCC